AAAAATCCCCAATTTAAACTAAAGTGCGGGGTTAAGTCAGGTGCTCAGTTTTTGGGAAGTGTTTGACACATCGAACGGAAAGTGTTACAGGTGTGCCTGCGCAGCGCGAGTGAGAGTTTCGTGTGTTAACAAAACATAGTGATTAATTAAGGCGCGTTGGCGTGTGGCATGGTTTTCATCTAACATGGCGTGTAACCTCTTGATCAAATCCACCATCGTTTGGTATAACCTGTGTGTGTGTGTGCGTGTGCTGTCACTCTGGCAATGTAGGCTGAATTTATATCCAACACGTCGATTCTGCAATATGCCCGCAGGGATTTAAGCACACCAATCTAACCGAGATTTCAGCAGTCCGTCTATGCTCAGACTCGCAGCGGTGTCATGCATACTGCAAGAAAGCAAAGCCACTTGAATTTCCGTCTGTGTTGCAAGAAGCCAAACCTCAGGCACGGTAAAGTGTGTTCTTGATTCACTAGCGATAAAGGTGATTTCAAGTGGAAACATGAATATGTGCAACTGACGAATTGCGATGTTTGCGCAATGCGCAAGCAAAATCGGATCGAAGTAAACATGTCGACCAGTCGTTGTCTGGACTAAATGGTTCCAATTATGCATTCGCGTGTGATCGTGTTTCACTTATCTGAGAGATGGCTGTGCTTGTCCAGTGACCTTCGCATTTTCGAACGCCAGTCTGTGTGCTTTTCTGGGTGGCTCATCCACCACAGCGCCAATGTTCGTCTCCATGACAACGTTCGTCTATTTCCTTATGTTTTGCCTGTCGCACTGGACAATAATAAAAACACCTGGATTGTTCCTTTCACTCAATTGGGGCGATTTCCATTCTATAACTGGCATTGCCAATGGTGTCTCCTCTAATATTACACACCAGATCTCATTGCAGTCGCAATGTTGTGTTATAAGAAATTACCCTTGCGCTTAACACTCATCCACTCTGTGCGTTTGCTTAAAGTTAACACACTTCGAAATAATGGATTAATCGCGGTGAAAATCAAATACAGGCACCAAGGCCTCCTGCATGTGATTTAGCAAGTTTAATGAGAGTATGAGGAACTGCAATAGAAGTTAGCCATAATTTAAGTCGAGACAACACAACAACAAATTGTGTCGTGTCACACGTTGTCCCCACTGAGAGGTTCTGTTAAGGAACTTGAAGCAAAATTCTCTTTCCTAACGAAGCAGAATGCACCACGGAAGAAGTCGTCCATAAAGTACGGTAGATCTGAGGCAATCGTGCATTTTCTGAGAACACGTTAAACATGCACATTCAATGGTGTAAAGTGGGCAGAGACAAGAGCGCAGGTAATCTGCAGTAAGTAAATCTGGACACCGCTATAAAAACGATTGCGAATGCGGCTACAATCCTTGCAGTTGTAGCAAAGCCCAATGCTTCGACACCATGCCTCACATTTACCCCCTCATACTCACATTCATAAAGTACACAATCGATGGCCTCAAATTACCTTCCCGTTCCAAACCCTACGCACCTTGTTGCAGCCGTAGCAGAACATCAGGGTCCCTCGACACACGTCTGTCGAAGCACCGAAACCCTCATGTGAATGCATTTCAAGATCTCACTATTTGTGGCACTTAAGGTCTTATTCAATATTTCGAAATCTGAACGATGTGACCGATGTCTCGCAATTCGTTTTATGCAGGTGTTCGTGGGCTAACCTCAGTGCGATGCTCGACCCTACCGGTATTTCTGAAGAGGTCAATTTATCAATATGGATACTAATGGCTTTCGTCATGTTACGTTTATCAGCTGAAGAGCTTCCCGGATGGAAAGCATATCTGGTTCGAGGATATGCTCGAAGCACTGGTTGTTCGAGTGTGGTGTACAAGTAGTAACTAATGACTACCGTCTGCAATTTCGAATTGGTGACGGCAATCTTCCTAGGTGCTTGTGTATTCATGTTGCTCTGGGTGTTTGATGTCGAGCCTAGACTTTCAAAAAAATTACTTTTGAGATTTGACTCCCAAAATTGTACTTTCAACAATCGTACAAACTTTTATAGCCTGAGACCATGACTTGGGTTCGGCGTGAAGACAGCTTACGAAACCTGCTGGGGTGACATTAGTATTGATCCTTTTACACTGATCCTTCCAATCCATCTGCTCACTCTCTCTATGTTAGTAATTATTTTTTACACTCTACTGCACTAAAATGATGCTCAATGATTACGACGACTTTACTCACTCCCGGACTAACAAAAAGCCCATCTTGCGACATCCACTTGAAAGTTGAATAACTAACTCAAGTAGCCAGTTCATTGTTTCAACTTTAGTTTTCTAGCTAATCGTCGTGGGTGTTTTGACATATTCGCGGCATGCACACTTAGCTTATCATTGTGCACACACACTTTACGTAAGGTAAGCCGTAGCACGAAATTCAGTGAGCAGTAACTTCAACTTACTTCATTGCTTTTTTTCCGCCACTGTCACACAACTCGATTACTCAGGCCAAGGGTCTTTAGACGTCGGAGGTCTTAGTGATCCTAAAACCAGCACTCTGATTATCAACTTCATGACGCTGTTCTACTTGATTTTACTTCGGATCTTGTTCCCTGCTAAGTGTTTCGAGATAAGAACCGCAGTCATCTCTATAAATCTGTCTTGTTTTGCTCGAAAATGTGTACCTACGCTTTTCAGTAATCAGTAACTTCTAATTTATTTACTGTAATATTTTTGATAACACTGGAGTGGCCGAATTGCGGTGATTCCTGTGAAAGGTACATCGTTACCAATCGAGCAACCAGGTAACTGCAATTTCACTGCTGTTGATATTAGTAATTATTTTGCACGCTCTTTTGAACTAAGATGATGCTTAGTGATTGTGAAACCTTCTTTATTCGAGGATATGCCTGAAACATAGCAAATGACTTCTTTCCATGCTAGCGTATTGTCTAATCTAGCAAAGGAATTAATGCATTTTTCGTAGTATCTATTTGGACTTCGCAGCACATAAATAACAACGGTACGAATTATGCAAAATGTGCAAGCAGTAACATACGTCTACCGCACACTACCCATACCCAGTTCAGGAGAAGAATATGTATGCGGCCGAATAATTGTCAACGCTCATCCTTGGCATAATACAAAGAAACGGTTCAAACTTTCAATCATTCTAGCATGTCAGGTAAAAATATTTCCATTGAATTATCCCTGGTATCAGTAAAAGCAAACTGCACCGTAGGTGATACTAGTGGACATATTTAATCTGATTTATTGTTGCAAAACTTGTTTATCCTTTGGTTTACCAAACGAAAAAATTTAGAAAGCATATTCAATGCAAAAAAATGCCGTAAAAAACGTGAAAGACCTTAGGAAATACGGTGCAGTGCAAACAGTCGTGGTTTCTGAATCGCCGATTGCCCATGTTCTGTAACTTAAAATAAACGCGTGAGAACAATGCATGTTAGATCTGTTGATAGATATCTCAGTCCATGCTTCAATAATAAATGCCAGGTTACAGAACATTTACGACGATATTTTCACCTGTCAGAATTGAACGACGTGGATGTTAATTTGCCTAGAAGTAAACTGCTGACATAAATAAATACTACTGTCGGACACTAACAGATGCTAGATAAAAGAAAAGCAATAGACAAAGGAGCTGAATCAAGAAAACAGCTTGATTACGAGTCGCTTCCCTCGTCTCACCTCACCAGAATCATAATTTATTTGAAGAACCTTAAACTGTGCTTGAAAGGAGCTTGATGGTTTAGTCTAGAACCATCTGCAAGTGCTTAAAACTCATCGCCGCTCACATCCTCTTTGTGTAAAAAGAGGCGGTTCGACGTTTCCCTGAAGTAGAAGGCAACTTTAGTGGTCAGACTCCGTTCGTCGGTAGGTTTTGAATAAGTGACAAGAGAAGTTAGAAGCTGGAATCGAATTTTATGCCTAGTGTGTTTTTGGACTTGCATGTGCAGGATCGTGAAAAAACACTGATTTGCCTGTTGGGTTTTTGCTTTTAATCCATTGGTTCGACCCATTACTAACATGAAACTTCGAATCTGACACCCCAAGAGTGCAGGGGTGGAATTAGGGAACATGGCTGATTTGATAGTTCTAAATATTTCAAAAGACCTATCAAGACTTCACTAAAACATTCAAATCATATGAGTTGAAAACAAATGTGATTCCAGGTACCACGACGTTTAAATTGCAATGAGTTTTTGAAGTTTCTCGTTTTTTCAAAACTTAAATGCAAACCTGATGCTGAATTTTTTCGTAAATTTGTTCAAGTGAATGGTAAATGTTAGAAATCGCAAAAAATGGGTCCTAAAACTAATAAGAATAAAAATCATGGTCACTTCAGAAGCATTACTAATATGTGGTTGCTGTAGAAACTTCTTTAAGGAATTCTTTTTCGCACAATATATCTGTTAAAGTCTAAAAAGAACTAAAACAGACAATATGTTTTGTCCTTTAAAAATATATTACTAGTATAGGCTACACCCATTTAACAATACCAATTACACAGCCCGCTCAACGATAACAACAGGTAACCTACCGTGAGAACCACATTCCTCCTACCGACTTGGTCAGCTAATCCGGTGACGCTCAGTGGCTCTTTTCGATGCTGCTTTCTGATTGGTGCACGTTAAAGCGTGTACACCCAAACTTGCTCTGAAAGGCAAAGGCACTTTTATTTCGCCTACTTACGATAAAGGATGGAAGAACACAGTGGTCATCCAACTAACCATTCTGCTACCAGCCAAGCTATCTCCCTTGAGGCTCATCTTTCCCACTCTGGGCTTTTACCCAGTCATGTGTATTTCGGAAGTTGCTTATTTATTCTCGGTGCCTGGTGGTTTACCGGTGTTCTCCGAACTCAATTTCGTAGAAGTAAGGTAAATAGAGCAATACTTACCTTTCCTGGAACATGCGGACCCTGCTCAGGTCAAGTACTAGAAGGCCTGGTGCAATTCATAGCCTGTGTTATTGGCATTATAATCGAATCAATTACTGTAACCAGAATGGGGCGTCCTGAGAATTACACCTACTGCACAATCTATTCAAGTTTCATGCTCGCAGCTCTAGTGAATATCCTTGCGGGTTTGCGCATTGTTCTTCCCGAGGGAATCGATTTTCTGGCTCATGCTGTCGCCTTCGCGAATCTCGGTGTTTTGGCACGAGCCCAAGCTTGGGGTCACCTCCATTTAACTGTCGCTACTCGTCTGCTCACATCATACGTGGCCATGTTTGCCGCATTTGCTCTCGTTATGGAACTCTATAGACCACAATCGCATATTCTCAAATTTATTCGCACAGGAGCCGTTATGCTGCAGGGTGTTTGGTTTTTGCAGGCCGGCCTCGTCCTTGATTCTTCTTTTTCTGAGCGCTGGATTGAGGAGGATCATACCAATCTGATGTTCATTACCATCGCATTTTCTTGGGACATGTGCGGTGTAGTGCTCTTTCAGATTTTCTTTGCTGCCATTATGGAGAAACTTTGTGGGGGGTCAAAGGTTGAAGACCACAGACAACGCCTTCGCACAACCGAGGGTGCCAGAACAATCAAAGACGTTAACATGAATGGAGTTGATGAATACAAGCCACTTCAAACTCTGGAATCACTTGAATCGGAAGTTGTGCTGGATGCTCAGTAAAAGTTGGATCGTCAATGTCCCAATAACAGCGCTAAAGGAACTCGACCCACTGTTCTAGGATTCATATCACAGTGCGAACTCACAATTAAGTGCTTTGATTTTGTTTTGTATATCCAGCTACCCTATTGCTTTTCGTCAACCCTCAAGTTACCTGGTCGGGGGAATGTTACTATTTATCCGTTTCATTATCACTTACCTATAGTTGTAATTTTCCTATGTGCGGGGACGTATCCTAACTTTAAATAACTTATTAAACACTAGCGAACTTAATGTTGCATGTTTTTATACCAAGTTATGCATAACTGTGTATTCTTCCAGGCCACTGTGCCCGCCACAGTGTCATGACCTGCTCTTAGCTATACGCTACGCCGATGGATTGCACACACACGTAAGTTTTATTAACAGTTAGGGATAGTGGGGTCATGATTTCAAAAGCCAGCGGGAGCACGAGAAGCGAAACACAACATCGCGTTAAAACTCGAATTCTATTACATCTCAACCTTGGTGCCTTGCAAATGAGTCATCTGATAGGCTTTTGGCAAGTAGAAAAGCTAAAATCGTGGCAACATCAAACTAGCCAGACCACTACCAACGACTAATCTCACAGGGTGATTATAAAGGTGTATGTTAAGCAACAGCTTTAGTATGTCACGATGATTTTGGCATTTCCGCGATTTATTTGGTAATAAAACTCTAAAAAGCTGTATCAGTAGAAGAAGGGGAACGTTTTTAACCCTTCGGTTCTCTAGCTGAGGGTACTGAGTCTCTCACCACATAAGCGGTTACGGCTTAACCTTCCCACCCAAGGTGACTATTTTCTGAGCAAAATTTCATAGGCTGAAGTCGATTAGGAAAATTCCAGTGTTTTAGAATGAGTAAGTTGTCAGTGTGAGAGTTGAATGGTGCCCCACTTCATTTGTTTAAACCTCAGTCGGATTCGAGCTCTTAAATTTGATCTCTCTGACCACATTTAAATGATCCTGGGTTACTTATAGATCATATTTTCTTTATTTCGCCATTTTATCAGTAATGCGCTAGAATTTTAGAACAAAAATTCTTGCATATGCATGCATTATTGCTGTATGCTGGAATATGAATCTCAATCAACCTGTGTACATAAGTGAGTTCGATATGTATTTATTTATAGAAATTGGTTTGGTACATCATACAATTCTCGAGAGAACAGTCGATGACCAGTTGATGAAATAAACAAATTGATGTGGTTTACTAATAGGTGGTGTAAATGAATGCAACGACCCCAACTTGGCGTGCTTTTTGATTTCGAGATTTCCTCTTTCTAAAGTCAACAAAGTTAACATTAATTGGTCTCTGCTACATTAGTAACATTGTTCTTCTAACAGCCAACCTAAATGAATTTCATGAAGGAAAATAATACTGGTAGGCAATTGGGTCGGGGATGAAATTATCCTTCTTATTGAATTGATGGCATCGCCGAATGTGTGTAGAATGCAGTCCAGAATTGAAGAGAGTGTTTCGACATTGGAAGATCTGTTCAGTTCCGCCAGGGATAATTTCTAGCTCATCAATTCACGCGCTTCCGTGGCTTCTAGGACTAAACGGGAGAGCACTTTGCGATTAAAACCACTGATGCTTCAAAGTTGAATCTCTGTTAGAATAAATGTGGCAGCGCTGAGTACCTGTTGGTGAATAAGACCACCGACACGACAAACTTACGACACTGAAGCAACCACTCCACAAACACGCCAGGCAGACTTTTCAAACAAGTTAATTGTCCGTTAACCACCCATAAGCACAATAATACATTTGGTTTTGGTTATTGTTTACAAGGAGAGATGGGGCAATGTAGAATTTAGAAGTGGAGCAGAAATATGTATTTCCACGGGCATTTTAATAATATCTGGATAAAATAAAATTACTACTCAAACCTGCGGTTGTAGGAAAAATTCTGCAATGTCTTTGTAAGCCATAGTAGATGAATGCACAGTTGATTTGGATAACAGCCATCCTAAACATTAAATATTATGAGAATAAGCAGAGCAAACGGTAAGTGTTAAACAGAATATGCATAGAGTAAATACAGTCTCCCAACACTGTTAGGGGCTTTAAAGTGCTTCAGCAAAAACCAATATATTAAAAAATGGGTTACACAGAGATGATATGACAAGTTTTACACCACCCAGACTAGTGGGGTTATCGACAAGCACTTAAAGGATGGAAAGGACTAGGATTCGAAGGAACCAGGCTATGTGAAAGTCAGAATTTGAATGAGCTAATTTGTTGATTACCTCTCAACATTTCCTTTACGCTTCCACTTGTTAATACTATACCAAGGAATCATTTGAACATTGGTGTTTCCGCCTGGTTGTGTGGGTGGAGGACAGAAATGTGGTAAAACACCTGAAATATTCCAATTTTCTACTTGAATTTTTTTAACGTACATTTTTCCTGAGCGGACTTCAACAATTCATCTAGCTGTCGCAGGTGTTCACCAAAGTTTTTGGGACACAGTTTGACATGTATTTTGTTAAACGGAGTTGTTGGTGTTAGAATTTCCCGAATTCAAGTCACATTGGAATGTCCACTAAATTCTTCTTCGAAAGAAGATGGTAATATCCTTAAACGACTTTGAGATTTGATCATTGTCATTTTCAATCCTGTCTGTTGCAAATTTTCTTTTACTGAACTTCAATCTAGGTTATCTTCACCTTCTCTCATTGGTTTGTGATCGTCTTTAAGTGCCAGCTGAGTTGTGGCGGGCTTAATTGGCGACAACGCTTCAAGGATCCCAGAGGTTGGGTTGTGTTGACTAGATGCCCCAATTTTTTTTCTGGATCATCAAGACTTCTGCTGACAAAAGCTTCACGGATGACAAAAGGCTCGTATTAATTACTTAGGCGTTGCTTTTTTAGCCGACTCTTCACACTGATAGACCGGAAATCTACATCTGCGTTGGACACAGATTCTGAATCAGGTATGATTGTTTCAAAGACTCGCAGTGGACTGAGAGCCTCCTCGCGTGAGTGATGCGTGTATTATGGCCCGAGTGTTCCAATGACTCTCGTTCTGATATTGGTTTCTGTCAGCATTCGCCTGTTACGCACGCGTACTCATGCGCACACAGCCATTTGGCTAGTGTAACACCAATAAACGGTCGTGTTCTCTGTCGCCGCTTTTTTTCCTTCCACTCAGGTTGTTACAGCCTGTCAACTAGAGAGTTGTAAGGTAGTGCTGAAACTGTAGCCACTACGGACTTCTACAGTTGGATCATGGTAGTGAGGCATATTAAAATCATTTTCTTGTGCAGCACTCAGTAAACAGCAGCTATAATTATCAATACAATCAGAGGTTCTCAAGTGTGATTAACATCAGAGGGAGGTAGTAAGGTGTGGCGAGGTTCTCTGCTTTCATAAATGCCACAGCAGGACAGCGATTGTTAAGTGTGTTAACTTTAAGCAAACGCACAGAGTGGATGAGTGTTAAGCGCAAGGGTAATTTCTTATAACACAACATTGCGA